GCCCATTTCCAGCAACTATCACTCCAGTGTTCTAATGGTACAATGTGTTTGCTCATTGGCTCAGAAGCTAATTAATGATTAGAAAACCCTTGTGCAATCCTGTTCACACATCTGAAAACAGTTTAGCTTGTTACAGAAGCTACAAAACTGACCTTCCTTTGAGCAGATTGGGTTTCTGGAGCATCACATTTGTGGGGTCAATTAAACGCTCAAAATGGCCAGAAAAAGAGAACTTTCATCTGAAACTCGACAATCTATTCTTGTTCTTAGAAATGAAGGCTATTCCATGCGAGAAATTCCTAAGAAATTAAAGATTTCCTTCAACGGTGTGTACTACTCCCTTCAGAGGACAGCACAAACAGGCTCTAACCAGAATAGAAAAAGAAGTGGGAGGCCGCGTTGCACAACTGAGCAAGAAGATAAGTACATTAGAGTCTCTAGTTTGAGAAACAGATGCCTCACAGGTCCCCAACTGGCATCTTCATTAAATAGTACCCGCAGAAGCCTAGGCCTCTATATACCTATGTAGATATTGCACCAAAAACCAGACATTTGCAGCTACAATAGTCATTTACCACATTAGCAATGTATAGAGTATATTTCTTTAAAGTTAACACTAGTTTAAAGTTATCTTCATTGAAAAGTACAGTGCTTTTCCTTCAAAAATAAGGACATTTCAACGTGACCCCAAACTTTTGAATGGTAGTATATATACATTGATCACTGTACAGATTGATGTCATTAGTCTTAGGATCAAATCACAAGTCTGCCTGCATCATTTCTAAACTGCTCAGTTAGTGATTGAGAAAAACTTTTTTTTAACTCTTACTTAAGGAATTTGCGTTTTACTTGAGTAGATAATATGTTGAAGTATTGCTACTCCTAGTTGAGTGCAATGTTTGGCTACTCTACCCACCTCTGGCTTTAACAACTGATCCAGATGATTGCAGCGAGGGCAAACCTTGAGCATGCAGGACACCCACCCCTGAGAAGCTGAGCTGGACGCAGCTGTGTTGGAGGCTGTTATCTGTGAGACGCACACAGATTCAGCTGTGGGAAAATTTGGCTTAATTTACAGCAAAAGAAAGGAATCCTAAAAAATAAGAAAATCCACAGGAGCCCTTCACCTACATTCGCTTTGCAAAAACTATGAATTTCCTCTGCTCTGATAGCCTGAACCATAGAAATGGGTTTGTAATATAAGCAATACTAACAACACCTTGGAAGAGGTGAGTTTATGAGTGTACCATTAATGGAAAATCTTGACACAATCTTTAATTTGCAATGGTGAGCAGGGCATCAGCCAGGGAAGCAATCAAGAGAAGTTGAAGAGATTTACAGCTTAAAACGAGCAAAAAAAGTCTGGACTTTATATAAAACTGGAAAAGCTTTGTTGAATGAAGCCAAGAATCTCCATTTGCTTTTTGCTTGAGGCGAGGTAGAGGAAATAAAATGTAAAAATTTTGGTCAGATGAAACCAAAATGAAACTTTGTGGCTTTGAAGACTAAACGGTTTAAGTGGTGGAAAAGTGAAAATCCCGCTGACCTCACTGTAAGTGCTATAAAGCAGGGTGCTGACATCAAGGTGTGGACGGGCTTTCCGTTCAGCGGAGACTGGGAAGCTAATCAGAGCTGACAGAAAGTGCATGGAGCCTAAATTTAGAAAACAAAAATTGTAGGGTGCAGCATTTAGAAATATGGTGAGGGTTACCTTTCTAGCAGGACGACGATTGGTGGTGAGATTTGGAAACTCACTGAGCACAGGATGGGGCAAACATTAGCACATACAGATGGGAAAAGCTGCTAGGGACTGAAAGACTTAATGCAGCAAAAAATGGTCAATTTCCTTTCAATTATAATAGATAATATCCCAATAAAAATAAAGTTTTTGGTTTTATGTCACATGTGAAAATGTCATTTAGGTCTGTGTGAGTTTGTGTCTACTTGTGAAACCCTCCCGGTTCCAAAAAGCCACTCATATTAAAAAGATGTAAAAATTTGAAAAACCTCTTTATTAGAGGTAAGAATCTTTTAATCCACACTCTGTCCTTCTGTGTTTCTTGGCCTCCCTCAAAATGGTCCACAACTCAGAGGCCCTCATTCACCTTTGTTCTGCCGCGGCTCCACTGGCACCCAGTTACATTTAGAATCGATTCTCCTGTTTACATCCGAGGTCATCCACCACCTCGCCTTCACCCCATGTGATTTTACTAATGTCTTTCTTCTGATTCCTCAATCCCCCTCCTCTATATACGGTTCCCCATCTTTGCGACGAGAACATTCAGGAGCTCTGCTCCCAAACTCGGGAACTCTCCCATCAGACACCCAGATCATCAACGCTCTTCCCCGATTTAGATCCAGGATTAAAGCCTACCTACTCCTCATCGTTCCACTACTCCATATTTTAAAGGTATAGTGGAGAATGTTCTTTTTCCGGGTGGATCATCAAAATAAGTGGTCTACCTAATTGTCAATCATTCTGGTGATATGTTTACGTAAGGCCGTCCTACATGCTCGTCCCCGTTTTCACTTACAGTACGGGTGGTGAGTCTGATTTAGTGGAAAAATTGGAAAGTAAACTTGTAAGAGCGATGCAAAAAGCAACTTTTTAAACAGAGCGTGCACGAGGAGAAATGGAGTCATGCACGCTCTCATACGCATTTAATAGGCGTTCTATCTCGGCAGCGGGTACAGGGTTGTGCATGTTCATATTTTTTTTTTAAGTGGAGAGAGCAGGTCTTTTCAAAAAAATTTGTAAAAATCCTCCACTATACCTTCTATGTTTAATTTCTTCATCATGTTTTTATTATTTTTATTTGTAAAGGGGTCCTCATTACTATACTGTTTGTAAAAAAAAAAAAAATAAAAATTATATATATATGTATATATATATATGTATATATATATATATATATATATATATATATATATATATATATATATATATATATACATATATATATATATATACATATATATATATATATATATGATTTATATAATTAATTTAATGTTACATTTGATTTAGGATTAATCTGAGATATTTCTTATAAAACCAAATAGTATCTGCTGAGGACTCTAAGCTTTTACTGTCCATCCATCCATCCATCCATCCATCCATCCATCCATCCATCCATCCATCCATCCATCCATGTCATTAGACAGAAATTTAAACTTCTGTTCAAACTCGTTTTTCAAATTCTTAAATTAACAACATTTTTACATTCAGCCAGAAAAAAAGAAGCACTTTTCCAATCATTTTTTTTGTGATTTTCTTCTTTTTTTCTTCAGTTAAAACTGTTTTGCTCTTCATTCAGCGAAGGTGCTTGGAAGATCAGTGTAGCTAAAACATTTCCTCAGCTGAGAAGTGATGCTTTGTGATATATAACCTTGAGTGAGAATAAAAGTAGAGTGTGGTAACTGTTCCTGAAAGTACTATTCTTTTTATTGTTTTAATGAAGTCGAGTAAATTTTATAGGGTTAACCTACCTTTGCTATACTGAGTCTTTTAAAATCACAGTAAAATAGTCCATCCATACATTTTCTGTCACAATTCATCTGCTGGGGTCGCGAGGGCTGCTGGTGCCTGTCTCCAGCTGTCTACTGGTGAGAGGTGGGGTACACCTTGGACAGGTCGCCAGTCCATTGCAGGGCAACACAGAGACAAACAGGACCATTCACACACACACTCACACCTAAGGAGAATCTAGAGAAGCCAATTAACCTAAACGTCATGTTTTTGGACTGTAAGAGGAAGCCAGAGTACCCGAAGAGAACCCCTGCATGCTCAGGAAGAACATGCAAACTCCATGCAGAAAGACCCACAACCTTCTTGCTGCAAGGCAGCAGTGCTACCCACTGTGCCATAGAGCAGCCCGCTTTTACCGTCCATACCCTTTAATTAGTTAAAACATCATTCATTGCCTGTTAAGACACAAGAGCATTGCTGGAGCAGTAAAACTATATTAATATCTGCAAATCCTGGAAAAAAAAGAAATAAATCACAGGTTTTAAATGTACAACTGTACAAAACATTTATTTGAACTTAATGTAAAAACAGCTTTGTTGTATTTACATCACTTGCATCAGAAATCCATGACAACCAAACAGTAACTCTGGAGAAAAAAAAAGGCTTAATGGTTTTCCGACAATTACAGAACTTAATGGAAGTTAATTGAACAGCTTAGACTTGCACTAAAAGCATATAAAACAGAGATATTAAAAGAAATCTACACAAACACAAAAGAAATGATGCACTATGAAGTGAACAAGAGAACCTGTTCCTTTCTCTCTGTTCTGCTGCCAACAGGAGAAATCAGCATAAAAACGGATGCAGCAGATGAAGAAAACCAAATTTAGGAGGGCTGGGTTCAGTCAATAGAGCTGGATGCAGTTTCATAGTCAGTCAATAGATGGCAGTGCCAGCACTGTAGCATATATAACTCTAAATCTGTGCTTTATACATAAAAAAATGCAGAAACTGGGCATAAACAACAACAAATAAAGCAGATTCTGGTTGAACAGTTTTTTATATCTCATTATATTCCATTTGTTTAATGAATCTGTATGTATAAATAAAACATCTATAAGACTTGCATGCACTTTTGATGCACATGTACGTGTGCATACAGGGAGGATTTTATAAAGAAACATCTGAGCTACTTTTCAAATCCAGGAAAAGATTTTCCTTCATCTTACAACCATAGGAAACAATCTGTACCTGCACCCATCCCAACAAGACAAGAGACGGACTACTTCTTCAGTCGGTTATTTAAAAAGAGAGTAACATCTGAAGATCATGGAAGAAAACTGGAAAAGAAACATTCTGCATTAGGTGATAGGGAAAAACCTTCTGCACCGTCCTGAACGTGGAATCAGCAGAAAGCGGCTGATGAAAGGCACACGGATCACACGGACATAAAGACGCCAATTTGTCAACCAGAACTTAGTCTGACGAGCAGGAAAAAGAAAAAAAAAATGCTACATTTTTTTTTTTGTCATTTTAGAAATTGAAAGGATCGGATCTCGAATCGTTTTCACCCTGCAAGGACGTCACAACGCCGAGGCGATTGTGTGCATCTTTAGGGTCGTTTTGGCAAAGGTATAAATAAAAAGAGATAATCTTCTAAATAAATATGAAAATAAATAGGAAACGATCAACAAAAGCTCTGATAGAAATGTCCTGCAAATTCCTTCAACAGTGTTTGAGATTGAAAACACTGAACACATAAAGACCGAAGACACGACTGGATGGGATGAAAACAGCTTCAGGAACAAAATGGAAATAAAAAAGCTGGAAGAGTAGGGATGGATGTTAGTATGGGAATATTTTCCCATTTTAGTGAGAAAAATATTCATGGACTAGAATTGATGGTGTGCTAAAAGACTCATCAGAACACATTGAAACATGACCTGTTTTTATGCTCAACATGTGCCTCATATCAGTGCATTAAACAGGCACGGTATTGGTGACACGTGCGACGCCACTCCTTCTAACCAGTGTATATATCTGCGCCTCCTGGCTTTCAGTGTCCGGCTGAGCGTTTCTTTACGTCAGCCGAGAACATCCAAACCTGTCGGAACACAAAGCTAAAGCCTTTGGGATTTTTTAGAAAGCATACTTTAACATAGTTTCTGTCTTTAATGTTGTCGAGCGTTGCTTTCGTAGTGAATCTTCAGCATTAGGCGAGTAGTCAACAACGTCAGACGGCTGATCAGTCTGCCGCATATGTGTTTCTCTTTTTTTTCTACAACTACTGGCTTTTTGAAAGCATGGCTTAACAGCCACAGAGGAGGTAAGCCTGTTTGGGAGACATAGTGTCCGACGACGGTGTCCGTGTGGCTGTAGTTTGTGCCGATGGTGAGCGCGATGCATTTACTTCATTGGCAGTTCACCGTGGCCGAGGGTTTCAGGGCGTTTCCGCGTGCTTGTAGTAGCCCCTCTTGAGGGCCGAGTAGGCGATGCACTCGGCCGAGCGCCGCTGGTCCATGCTTAGCAAGGCCTCCAACAGGTCGTTGATGTCGGCCTTCAGCCCCTGCCTCTGCATCCAGTTCTTCAGCAGTTCGTACACTTTGTCAACAGAGGGGCCGCTCTCCGCGATGCGGATGTGGTTGTCGCTGATGCCGATGAGTCGGAAGAACTTGTTGTGGATCCGGACGTCCAGGTACTCGTCGAACAGGTCGAAGCTCTTCCTGAGGGACCTCTCTGACCCTTTAAAATAAAGAGGACATGAATACTGTCAACAATACGATTTACTATACCAAGTCTTATCTAAGAACTGACTGATTTTCAAACGATTATGTGCCACACAGAGTGACTTTTGGCACAAATAATCCCTTCAAATGATGAAAAGCATCTCTATTAAATTTATACCAGGACTTTGAGCCCAAAACCTTTATTTTGTGTTGTTTTTTTAACCAACTGGAGCTTGATTTTGATTTTCATATCCCAGGTGTGCTCAGGCTTTAAGCCACAATAGGATGGTGAGACATTTACTCTACAGATTTCCTTATATTTTGGATGTTGATTCAGGTTCTGTTGTGACCTTTTGAACGAGTGCTCAAAACGCCCTAGGCGTAATAGCAGTAGGCTGTTCACCATTTCTAGTCTGACAGCAGTCATTTTGGAGCAGGATGGATTTATCTTATATTCTATGTAATCTTGTCAAGTTCTCTTTAGGTTGATATTATGTGCTTCCATGGATTTGGCAATAATTTAATCCAGTGTTTCCCAACCTTTTTTGACTTGTGTAACCTGTCTGGTATTTTGTCTTACCATGAGTAGCCCCCTCTCAGTCAAAATTATAGCTGATTGTCTAAAAGTGGAACAAACAATAACGTTTTATAATGCATATATGCATTTTATTCTTTCCATCTCAAATCGAAAACCTAACCTTACAGTTAGTACGGAATCGCAATATATACAAAATCGTATTAAAAAACCTGTATTTATTAAAACTGGAGCTCTGCTGTGTAATTCCCCTATAACCACATTTAAACTTGATGAACTGGGAGCAAAACTTATGAAATTATAGTCAGACTAACGTTAGTATTACTTTACTTATTACTTAGTTTTAAGTAATTTAAGTAAGTTGAGCTCCAGTACCTCAATATCAGCTGACACCAGACTGTTCTCTACATCATACATGTTCGTCTGCTCGGTTTGGATGGTTGTCAAAGTTGAAGATGAACTCAAAGAGAAACTGACTTTTTGGTTGATAGAAGCTTATTTAATTTTTGATCCTCACAAAGCAAAAGAGATCCCAGCCATATTTTATTTTACTACCTAAGAAATAACATATTGTCATGTACCCCTTGTGGCTACTAAGGGTACGAGTACCCCCGGTTGGGAATCACTGATTTAGCCGACTGAGGCTAGCTAAAAATGAACCAAAGATATGGTTCATCAAGTGCATTTTTGATCAAAAAGGGGAGTAATGGGATTTCAAACAAGGGTCAGGTTGTTTTAAATAGATTTATTTCCTCTTTAATAGATAAAATCCGCATTTAAAACTGCCATAGCATATTATTTTGGTTATCTTTGTTTGATCTAAAACCTATGACCATATAAAAAAAAAGATCTTTATGGGGTTGAATACTCAGTCAGAGCACTGTAAAACTCTCAACTGACATTTTTCAGTTTATGTTTTCTTTCAATAAATGGCTAAAACATTTTATTAACATTATAAAACATTTTCTATTTTCCCGTCATATATTAACATTAAGGCCATTGAAGAATCTCAACTATAAACTTTAATTTCTAAAGAGATCCTCTCCTCTTCAATTTAGCGTGAGAAAAAACAGCAGAGAAAGTCAGCATGTTCTCAGCCCCTAAAGGCTCAGATCAGGCCTGACTACCATAACATTGGCAATCAACCACAAGTGGGAGATCTGTTGTGATGTTTTATTTTTTTCCTAAGTTCTCTGCGATCTGGCATGGAATGCATTTCACTGGGCAGTTTGTGTGTAAGCAAAATAAAAGGAAAACTATCCTCCTGATAAGTGATGGAAATGCCTTTTAAAGGTCAAAGTCTCTCCTTCCTGCAGCGAGATTCTTACCGAGTAGTGGCACCAATCGATGTCCTAAGGGGTCATCCTGCAGCGCACCCAAAACAAAACAAAACAAAGAGAAAAATTATAGAAGTGTTCAAAGGTGTATCATTTAAGGCTTAAAACCACAAACTGGGGATCATTTGATAGATTAATGCAAACCAAAGCAATACCATACAATGGAAATTAAAATTAAAACATAATTAAAACAAAAATGGAGAGTAAATTTCTTTTTAGTCCCTCCACTTTAAGTAAAAAAATTTAAGATTATCAGTGATGATCTCAGCAGCTCATCTAAACTCACCATAGGGCTCTTGCTTGTTTCTCAGACTAATATTCTCCTTCTCCTCTGGTCTTGGTAGGTTTATAAAGGTGCTATAGTCTAAGCTAAGGACATTATTTCATAATGTAACCCTAAATTTAACTTTACAGCTTTGTCTTGGCCAGTCTGCTGTGTTCCTCCTTCTTAATGATGCTTAATAGAACAGCTGAACCTATGCAGCGATGAGATTACACACAGGAGGATTAAACTGACTGATTAGGGAACTTCTAAAGGAAACTGGTTGCACTGGATTTAATTTATTTGCTATCATATAAAAGCGGCTAAAAAGCATCAATATTTCTCAGTCCACTCCCAAATAATGCATTTTGATGTTTGTTAAGATGTCAAGTTCTGCTGCTCACCGTGTCTGAGGGAAGCTGTCTGAAGCCAGAGGGGCTCTGGTGTGGGGTGTTGCCAGAGGAGGCAGCTGTGGGCAGAGCTGAAAGGCTCGTCTGAGACGAGCTGGTGGTGTTGGGCAAACTGTCGCCAAGTCCGCGGTCTTCATCCTCCAGAGGGGGGCAGGGCTTTGTCATCCCCTGGGTCTCCTGCAGCAGCGGTCTTGATTCTGGGCGGGGCTCCTCGCCCTCTAAACCTGCGTTCTGATTGTTCTGTTTCTCCTCAGCAGTTGCTCCACTCTCATGCTAACCAAGACAAAAAAAGAGGGAAATATATTGATGAAATGTCTGTCCAAACATATTTGCAAATGGTTAAGAAAATAGACCAAAATATGACCAAATGCTACTTACAATGGGAATCTTTACAATTTCACTGGAGTCACAAGGGGTCTTTGAACCTATTGAGAACCAGAAAATCGTTTAATGGCAAGAAAAGTCAGCTAAATGTTGATGCTTGGTTGTCACAAATTACATGGACTTACATGGTACATCACACGAATGCTGCTTCTTTAAGAACCACAGAATGGATGCAATAACGACAATGACCATGATGCAGATTAAAAACAATAAAACAACAAACCCTGGAAGAAACCAACACAGATTAGAGAGAGATTCAAGCAGCAAAACAAGGGAATATTTGCAAACAGGACGCCAGAAAATTACAGGTATTTGTTGAAGCATTGGGAGCCACGGGCGGCTTTGGTGCGACGGTTTCAGTGGGAGACGGATCCCGCCTTCGGCACTCGGTGTTAGAAAAGGGCGTGCACTTCTTTACCTCCTCCTCACCCGGTTTGCACCTGAAATATTGAAGAAGAGCAGTTGCCATGGGAACATATCAAACAGATGCTGCCTAAATATATACAGTTTTTTTCCCTCTAGAAGCAAAACGTACTACTTCATGAAATCCCAATAAAATGAGGTTTGTGTCATTAACGTAAGGAAATGTGAAAAAACTCAATGCGTATCAACCCTTTGCAGCATAACCAATGCCCAATGCAGGTAATTGTTAGGCGACACTCACTTGGCACAGCGTTTGCAGACTTCACAGGCCTGGTCAGGAACACAGAAGGTACCAGGTCTGCATTGGCACTTGGTGTCTGTGGTGGTGGTGCAGGAAGCAATTTTAATTTCATCTGGAAAAGAGGAGACGAATATTGTGAGGAAGCCCAAAGATGGTGACTCTGACTCAGTATATTTCTCGTGTGGGTGTGAAACCGCATTTGGGTCAGCTTGACATGAACAAGGTTTATCAATGAGGAAAGAGAAGCAAAGCTAGTGTCTTTAGCTTATTTATAGCCAGTTAGTGACTCTGCTGCGACTTCCTCTTTGACAAAAGAAAAGGTTTATAACTGGGTTTTCTTCTTTCATTCGACATCAGACACTGAGAAACCAATGGGATCAAATTAAAACTGAAGAAAACATAAAAAGCAAAGCAACGGCCCATCTTCACCATACACTAGTTCTACACTAGGTCAGTGCTTTGGGAAATATAGGGGAATACTATTTCTTTGTTTCTAACCAGGGTATACGGGATAAGCAGTTTATCTGCAGCCCAGAGGAGGATATTGGATAAGCTCATCAGGAGAAAAAGAAAGCACTATAAGAAAAACAAGATCCCTGTTGGACAATGTCTCCTATGCCATACCTCAAGCTGACTATGGTGTAGGAGACATACAGCCGCAGAGCTGGAGAGCTCTTTCAGTAGCATCACAGATGCTCAAAGAAGCGCAGCTGCAGATCCTTCCTCCCAGCTGCTGATAGCCTTTAAAATCTCTGTTGCTCCCAACAAACTCAGTGTTGACAAACAGCTACCAGTTCTACCGATTCTTGATCAGATCCAGAATCATTTACGCCGTTTCAAATGCTAATGTCTACTTCTATCATTTTGAGCTTCTTAAGGAGTGTTTGATTTACAATCAGGTGTATTTAGATTTATCGTTTTTTTGTTTTTGTTTTTTTTTCTTCCTTCTATCAAACATGCTTTAATATCTGTTAATATTTACAAATAATTTTTTCCTTTCTGTAAAGTACATTGGCATCTGGAGTGTTGTATAGTAGCCAAGTAAAAATACTTCACTACTGTACTTAAGTATATTTTGGAGTACTTTATACTTTCCAAGAGTAAAAATTTTTTTGAGAACTTTCACTTTTACTTCACTACATTTACGAACTTAATTGCATACTTTTACTCCAATACATTTTCAATGTTTGGTTTAGTTAATAAGTATTAAAAAAAAAATAGAGCGGGAGAAACGCAAGTGTTTTGACCCCACCTACTGACTACAAAGTCGGGTCTTGTCTGGGCTTGTCCATCAACACCAATAGGATGCGCCTGTTTTGCAAAGCCAGTCTAAAATTATCCTACACTTGGTTGTTTATATTATTTTAAGTGAATGTAACCTTCAAAGTTTACCAAAATGTAAAAAAATGTCATTCAAACTGCACTTACTTTTTACTTATACTTTTCACTACATTACTTGAGTACATCTATTTTTACAGTTATTCTTATACTTAAGTACAAGCCATTTCAGATAATTTAAGTCTTTTACTCAAGTAACATTTCAGTCAGTGACTTGGACTTTTACCAAAGTCATATTTTGGAGAGGTACTTATACTTTTACTTGACTCCGAGATTTCAGTACTTTATACAACACTGGGCGTCTGATTTACTTTTAATTTGCCTTCTGTTCATAATTTATTCTCATGTATGACAATACAGGTATTTCTATTCTATTATCACTCACTCCTTACTTCAGCAAAAAACACCCGAGTACTTGTATTTTTTGTCCTGATTAATCAAAAATAAGCCCAACACTTCTTTTTTCTGTTGGACGTTACCATTTTGTTTAAAGGTGTTTTGCACTTGCTGACCTTTCAGGTCCAAGCCTGAAGATTCTTTTCACCCTACAGGTTAAAAGATTTAACTTTTTGAGGAGAAAACACGGGATGTTTTACCTTAAATATCAAGCTAAAAAAACTTATTTGTCCTTGTCAGAGGGTGAACAGACTCCTTATGGCGGCGTGCACAAAAAACACCAGTTTTGTGACAACTGCTGCTCACAGCATAACAATGCCTTTCAGTGTTAGCGTTTCAGTGAAGTACAATAATACAAATTAAATTACACTGCTCCAAAACAGAACAATCCGAGTTTTGTTTAACTTCATTTTTTTTCAAGCAACAGTCCTTTAAGAACTGCGAGGAAATGTTATTTACTACATGGCTGTTTAAGTGCTGAGAAGTTTAAGCCCTCTAGCATCTGACAGTAGTGTGGGAGCCACAAACTTTGGAAAACAACAGATTAACCGTGAAATTGTGTTACATAAAAAGCCAAAATGCCAACAGTTTTTGCGTGTGCTTGAAATGCATTCCGTACATTTCTGAAAAATAAGAACAAATTAGAAGGCAGAAATTTAGATGAAAGAGTGGAGGTGGTAGGAGTATGCTAGGGTCATGATGCATCCCGATTAAGAGCATCAATAGGTATTTAATCCAAGCTAAAGAGTCAGCAGACTGTTATTAATTGTTTTGTTTCTTTCTCAGCCTGTATGAATACAGTGCTCTATAAATAAGTGACATCAATGTGGCATTAGAAAATAGAAAGCAACTATGCTAATTTAGTGTGACATAATTTCTTCAGTTGGCTCCATTGTCATTAAGGAGAACAAACAGAAAAACAGAAAAAAATAAATAATAGCTGATGGTGCAAAAATGAAATATTTTTAAGTCGAAGCATCGTGCCGATTTTGTTCATCTTGTAATCTGAAACTTGTGGGTTTGATTCCAGTTTCCTCTTTCCATATATGGATGTGCCCAAGGGCAAGGCATTCAAGCCCACCCTACCAACCTGCATATTGGTTATGAATGTGCGAGTGTGACAGAGTGAACAAGGGTTTAGCGTAAAGCATTTAGAGTGCTCGGTATGACTAGAGAAATGTCATATAAACTCAGTCTGCATGTATTATCACTGCTAACTGCCAGCTGGCTGTCAGATCAGGATCACTGATCAAACTAACCTCCTCCTGCTGCAGATATGACCTCATTTCCTTTAGAAAGATCACACACACACAAAAAATCTCCCTATAAATGGTTGTCAAAAAGGGTACAACACGTCTCCCTGGCAGGTGAGAGCTGAAGCCTAGTAATGACAGCTTTATTTCATACCAAAACAGGCTGAAAGAACATGGAATAAAATGGTGATGGTTGGGAAATGACCAGAACTACCACAAATAAAAAGAAACCTGAGTCCAACTGGGGGAGGAGGAATAAAGGCTTTACTCTGACAGAGAGAAAAGAATAAAAGAAGATAAAATCTTTTTAGAGCTGATGGAGGAGAGGGGGGGGAGAAATTCTTTTGTTTGGGAAAACAGCACTTGAGTGGTAGTGTACGCTCACACCAGAAACATGAACCGGGTTCTAGACCTAATAAGTAAAAGGTAAAAGGTTGCTGTCCTGGTCTGGAGACCTCAATGCACAACAAAAAAAAGAAACTCTAAAACAAACTTTTCTTTTAGGCAAATAAAGTCTCTATAAACATACTTTATTTGGATTTAAAGTTTTCTTAATGTTTAATTTATAAAATATTACATATAAGATAAAATGAGAGACATCAACTACATGAGGATAGGCAGTAAACTTAAAGCGATCACACCATTTTAACTTTCCCTCATTTTGTATCTAACTAAACGGCTGTATTTAAACTACCCTCAAATAAACTCTATTTACAATCTAGGCTTGAAGGTAGTTGGTTTATCTATTTCTTCTAATTCAGGGTTATGGGAGAAAGGGAGGGGTATAAACAAACCACACACTTTACAGATCTCTATCTGCAAAGGAAACTTCAAAACTTTGTTTTCTGTCTGCCGGTTCACAATAAACAAACAGTAGTTTAGGGCTTCGACCCACAGAGGCGGGTACTGGCTGGTCTAAAGCGGTATAACGGTCTAATAAGAGTTATATCATATCATATCTATTTAAAAAATAATCTCAGAGAATATTGTGGAGTTTGGACCAAATTTGCTCCAACATAATTTCTTAAGAAAGATGTTGGATCTTTTATTATTCTAATGCTTTTCTGAACAGTACATTTTTTGTGTTAAAAGAAAACCACAAGTTCCCCATTGTGGGACAATTCTATTCTATTCTATTCTATTCTATTCTATTCTATTCTATTCTATTCTATTCTATTCTATTCTATTCTATTCTATTCTATAAGGTTACAAATCCAAACATTAGAAACGTAGAGTCTATAACCAAATAAGGGATTAATAATAATTAGCCGTAGGATGATCACATTGTCTTCTAGCTAATATAATCAAACTATAATTTAAGTTTCACATGAAAATATTGTTTTGTTGTTTGAAAGCAGCAGATAAATTTCTTCCTCCTGCATCGCAGAGTCTAGATGTTCTTGTAGAACTGGGCCTAGTCAGACAGAAGGTTGCAAACACACAAGAGCAGCTGAACTAAAACAGGATTACCACCTCAGTGAAATCAGTAAATAAAAGACAAACTGATGCTGAGAAGACTCCCTTCTTAGGGATTAACAGAAGAAACAATCTCATTTCTCCTTCATCTTCGCCATGTGAGGCTTTGTCGTAGAATAGGGTTGATTCGCTATAGAGACTTCTGCTGTTTTTTTTTTATTTACTCACTCAAACTGTGGACTGAATTATTACACAGCTAAACCGACTGGTGCTAACTTTAACGGAGCACAATCAGAGTCTTTCAGCAGAACCCGTCCATGTGACACCATTAACGATTCATTAAATCAACAGCAGCCTTTCAAGCATGAACTTCCAACAGGAAGTTCTTGAGTGTTCCACATAGCAGCATAGTTCACAATAAGTGCAAGTAGTCAGACGCTGCGCAAAAAGAAACTTCTTCCAACTTTAGCTCTTCTTAACAACACTTCGTCATGGAATGAGGGGGGAAAACAACCTTAAAAGTGGAATAAAGGAGTACAAAACACAACCTATGTAACCGTAGTCTCCCTTCTGTGGCTTCTGCCTTTCATCTGAGACAAAGACGCCCAGTGTGGGGGAGACAATGTCGTGCAGCCACACCCTGTTCAGCCAGGTAAGACGGACCAACAGGCCAACCTCCAGAGACAAGTAACACGCTCACATTCAGCCCAGGAAACAAAAACAACAAAGACACGCCCTGCTGCTCCATGTAACATCATAAGATCCCATTTTCAGCAGTGGACGTGAAAGGAGGAGGGGCGCACACAAAGAGGTATTAGCTTTCCTAAAACAATATATCTTTCACAACCAGGATCTTTGGAACACTCTGTGGTTATCTGGATTTTAAAAAGGTAAAGGATCAGAGAGGTGTCAGCCAATTTTTTTTGCTCCCTTTATTTTAAAGAAGGCTGTGATTTTGGACCGGATGAGACAAACCGATATGGCGATTACTGTAGTGTTCTGAAAAATGTGGTGAAACTTTATCCCTTAAGCATTTTGTTTGGTTTTTAATTATAAATGGAAAACGGAATAAAAAACAAGTTATTTCAATAAAATAAATGAACGATTCCTTTATTCCAAATAAGTCGCAGTGTGTTGCTTTGTTTCTTTTATATGAACAAACTAGAAATGTTTGGATATTTCATATCAGTAAAGGAAAACAGATGTTACAAGAAATAAGCTGGTCGCTGGACATGAGGCTATGAACCAACGGCCAAAAAAAAATAAAAAATGACATAAATAAAAAAAATATGTATATTTTTTCTAACTTTAGATGCACTTCTACCTTCTGAATTGAATTGTTTATTTTGATTAAATCGTCTATATATATATATATATATATATATTTTTTTTTTTTTATAACTTTAGATGCACTTCTACCTTCTGAATTGAATGCTTTATTTTGATTAAATCCTCTAGGATGCAGCTGCATTTGTTTTAGGAAAAAAAACACTAAAGTAAGTTAGGTTAGAAAACCAGACTTTTAAAGAAAAAGTAAACTAAATAATGACATTTGAACAACACTCTTCAGTTTGGAAGCTGTTACAGAAGAAAGAAGCTATTTTCTAATGGGCTCTATGCACAGCTCCACTACTTCCTGAATTTAATGCAGCTCCTTTGTTTCCTGTCTTTCATGATTGGATGCACTGATTAATCCAGGTGTGTATGACCTAAGTAACTGGCCAGACACACCTGGATTAATCAGTTCGTCCAGTAATGAAAGACAGGAAACAAAGGAGCTGCTTTAAATTCAGGAAGTAGTGGAGCTGTGCATAGAGCCCATTTCTCTTTCTTTTAAGCTTCTTTGTTAGACAGGGGCAGAAATTTCAGATAACAACAGGAAGACTAATTGTACGACTAAAATTACTGTTTGGGATTTCAGCCCGTCTGCCTCAAAACATGTTGGATTCAGAGACACGTTTGAATCCTGTTAGTTTGAGGTAAGGGTCTATATTCCTTTACCCTAACACATGGAGACAACCGTTTACAGTTATTTAGCATGCTAAACCTGCTAACAGCCATGTAAAATGCTACACAAAAAAAAGAAATCAGACATCTATTTGATCTGTTGTCTTACCCTAGCTGTATCTTTACCCGAAACATAAAGTGTTAGTGTTAAAAAACCTAAATATTTTTATTTAGATGCAACAGATGCCTGTCTTCTTTTATTCAGTGAAAACAAAGCTTAAAATGTTGACTTTGTACCATTTCAATGCTGTTAAAATGAGACCACACACCCAGTCAGCTGTTCCCCTCACCTTCCAAAAATAAACATTTCCTATCGACCAGTTTTAGTTTTTATACTGATTTGATCGTTTTAAATATTAACAAAAAATAGAAAAATCAACTTATACAGATTTCATGCCACATAGTCTGCATCCCTATAAATTAAGGACTGCATCAAAGCGAGGAGATTAGTAGAAATGTTTCAATTAGAGATGTGCCATATCATGACAAAATCAGTATCAGGTGAGGTTGGTCATTTTCTGCCAAAAAGGGCCAATATTAACCGATTTGCCAAGGCAGAAAAGGATTGCTGGAGTTTAAGTGAAGTAGAGAAACAATATGAGCATTGTGGTCTGTTTTCTACAGTGTCCAAAGAAAGGGGCCATATTGGCAACATAAATAACAGAAATCAGAATCGACCCAGAGTTTCATATCCCTGCATCCCTTGTTTGTATAATTATAGTTCTTTTAGACAGTGAATTAGCTCATACTTATACAGACATGTTTGTTTTTTCTTTGTTCAATTAGCCACCATGCTGCAATCAGTACTTCTGTTCCTCCTACTTTTAATAAAACCGTTTACAAACATACATTTTGATAAGGAATCAATATGGACTACTGAAGTAAAGAACAATGTATAATCAGTTCAAGTGACTTCCCTTCTTCACTCAACTTAAAAGTTACGCAATAGGTAATTGGAAAAATCAAATTGACTAAAAACAAACGATGCCTTAGTTAATAAACAGAAAACTTGGGTTACCTTGGCGACAGTGTGTACAGGGCAGACAGCGGGTCATCCCGTTGGGGTGCTCTGTGTAGGTCTGTCCGTGCTCGCAGGACAAACAGATTCCTTGTTCTAGATCTTTTTCACAAGGCTTATTCACAAATGTTCCTGCAAAAAGAAGATAAACAAAAAAAACAAAAACAAAATCAGACCACAAGCCATCACACCTTAACTATATACCTCAATGACGCAACTAAATGGATGTCCTGTGAGCATTAATTTCATTACGGCCATGAACTTCCTACTGATCCAGTACTACAGCTGGGTATCCCGCCGTTTCAGACTGCGCTACAGTATAGCGACGCTAATAACAAAAGGAACAGTTGTTTCTATGTTTTACATGAGGTTTTATCATGGAATGCTTATATCACAGCCACTATAAGAAGGAGCGATTTAGTCAACTACAAAGTGATTTGACCTACTTTGCTCTGCTGGATTATCGTACTTATCATCTCTACCATCAGCTCAAGCATGCAATGAATAAAACCACTTGATTCTCATGTGTTTTCAGGATTTATCTGATGTACAAATGGAAAGAAAAGGGGGAAAAAAAGAGTAGGGGGGGCTCGAGGGTTACAAAACACAGCACAGACCTTTCCCACTTGAAATGTTCTTTTTCTCCTGGAGCTCAAGATGTCATATTAATTTAAAGATTACTGGTTGAAGGAAAAAAAAAACTCAACACACCTCTTTAATCCATTTATATTTGCTAATTAACAAGAACTAATTAACACAAGGGAAAACAAACATGAATAAGACGCTGTAGAGCTGTCAATAGAGAGTGAAGGCCAAGAGGAATAAATCAGGGATTTACTTATGAGTCCTCAACTGCATGCAAGTGCATAAATTATACACTGATTGAAGTTTACAGTTTAAGAGGGAATCTGTTTAAGAGGCAGAAAAACAAAAAAACAAACTTTAAACCAAAATTAAAGATTAACTAGATAAAGTATAAAACCAATCTTTTTCCCCCTCACCAATTAAATAACCCAATAAGCCATCAGTAGAATACAGTACTACTTTTTGGCTCAATATATTCCGATCTTGGGGATAGTTAAATGGTTTATCACATTATGTATATAATTAATTGAAAATGTTTTTTTTCTTTTAGTGACTTGGACCTTCAAAACAACTCTGACTTCAAGCCCTGCAGTTTCCACTTATTTTGTGCTTCTGCTCAGACAGAGCGACGGGCTTTCCGCTCCTGGCCGTCCTGCCTTATTTCCAGACAGAGCTGGGAGGACGACATTTTTAAAGATTGGCAAACTTTAGAGGAGGAAAATTATGACCTCTGAATAAAGGAAGCAGGCACCAAACTCTATCCATAGCACTGATTTATAAAAATTAAACGAAAAGTGAAAAAAATAAAAGACAATTATATATAATCCCAAAAAACTTTGGAATAAACTACTCTAGTCAGAATGACTATAATGGTTCTAATGTCTGAATGAGCTTCCTGAAAATCTGAAAGGGATTAAAAGCCAAAAGAAAAATATTCTTATTTGGTAATTCACTATTTTACTGGAGACCTGTCCAGGGTGTGCCTTGCTTTGCGCCTGTAGACAGCTGGAGACAGGCACCAGCAGCCCTCACAACCCCAGCAGGGATGAAGCGTGACAGAAAATGGATGGATGGACTATTTTACTGAGATTTTAAAAGACTCATTATAGCAAAGGTAGGTTAACCCTATTGAATTTACTTGAGTTCATTAAAAGAATAAAAAGAATAGTACTTTCAGGAGCAGTTACCAAACTTTACTTTCCTCACTTCTCAGCTGAGGAAATGTTTTAGCTACTCTGATCCTCCAAGCACCTTTGCTGAATGAAGAACAAAATAGTTTTAACCGAAGAAAAAACAAAAAAACAAAACATGATTGGAAAAGTGCTTCTTTTTTCTGGGTGAATGTAAACATTTTGTTTATTTGTATTTGAAAAGCAAGAGTTTGAACAGAAGTTTAAATTTCTGTCTAATGGCATCACTTTCAAATATCTAATCCACTGCATGATCTGGAACTCCTGACATTATCAACATTTTAAACAAATACTTCTTGGATTACAGTTTCTTACTTCTACGCTTATATGAATATGGGAAGTATTGGGACCCTTATATAAGTACGATCTATGGCTACTCACTCCAACTCTGCATTAAAGCACATTATTAGTCAGCCTTTAAATTTGACTTTAAGTTAAAGAAAAACTTATTTTTTGTTTACATTTTAACTTTAATTTCTTTGCTAAATATGAATGTAATACTATGAATGTAAATAAAGTATTGGGTTATATTTGTATTTTATTTATTCATCTCAATAATTTTTTTGTTTTTGCTTGTTTTACAGGAATGTAAAACACATTTGTAATTTGTATTTCTTACATTTTTTTTTTTTTTTTACATTCCATCCCTTCATGTCTCCTTTTATGTGTGGAGTAGAAAATATTAGCATTTACAATCCTACCTAAAGTGAGCATTTTAACTTACAAAGTTAATTGCATTTTATCAAATGACACCTTTTTTGGACTTTAAAAAAACTGCCTTGTCAGGTTATTTGTTATTTAAGGTTCCTTTGGGTTTAAACCCATTGATTTCAAGGTTAACAAACTAAATATTTTCTTTTGGGATTACGTCACAAAACAGGATTATACCATCAAACAGAGAAATAAAGAGAAATAAATATTGGTGTTCAAGTGGAATTATACTTAGAGTTGTTTTGTTATTTTTTAGACCACTGAGGGTAAAAAAAGAAAAGAAAGACAAACTTTCATATGGGGTTTAACATAAATAGGACTTGTTAATGGAAAGTCTCAAGTTAAGAAAAAATCATTTTAATTTAACAGCAGCAAAGACAAGTTCTCAAATGTTTCCAGGTCTCAAGGCATAGCAATTGTTTGAGTGACTTTTATCACTATACACAGTATGCAACCCTGCCTCCAGCTTTCAGCAGGTTAAGCAGGATTAGGGAAGATGGAGCAGTGCTTCTAATGGGACAGTAAATACAGTTTCCTGACATGCAGCTGGGACTTTAACCTTCTTACCCTCCTTGCAGTTCAGGCAGCAGAGTCCCTGGTTGAGGTATTGCTCATTCTCGACACATGTCCTGAGTCGCCGCAGGGTGAGGTTTCTGCCCTCCTCTCCGGACCACTGGGAAGCCGGGGGTTCTGCCGCGCGGCAGACAAGCCCCAGAAGCAGCGATGCCACGGCCACCTGCATCATCAAGGACGGGGAAAAGGAAAAAAAAAACAAGACATGAGCTTTGATTTACTTTTTGTGTTTACAGACAACACACACACTTGCCCACTTCAACTCATCTGGTGGAAGGCAGAGAAGAAGAGAGTCCATCTTCATAGGAAACCTTGTGTGAGCAATCTATGACTTAATGCAAACCATCTGATCTGAACATCTGCTGTGGGAAAGCAATTAAGGGAGCCATGCAGCTGGTCACAACTAGGAGCAACATAATCTCATGAAGGCAGGATGAGGAAACGTACACCAACTAAATTACATGCAGCGCAGCATGCTGCCCAAATTTAATTACTCCACCATCTAGAGGTTCAAAAGGACAGAAGCTGCTTCATCTATGGTAGGTGCGACAGAGAGAGTTTGGTAAGGTTCCTCAGATAACGGACCAGAAGCTCATATCAAATGTGAATACAGAGATCCATTCAAGTGTTAGATAATAACAGGCCTGTATAGGTGGGGTACAGAGAAGAATATAGCCCAACACTTTAGCGTGCCCCCCAGGCGCTGGTGTTTATTCACACGCTTTTCACCATGTCAACGTGAGAAGGCTCCATTCACCGGCAAACAACCCACTTTAGTGCTTCTACTTCAAATGACCCACATTCTTTAACCCTGGCTCTTTGAATGCCAAGACATGCGAAACCACAGCAAAGCGCCTAAAACGCAACAGGACACCTCCCTTGGTAAATGAGAGTCCTAGATCTGGAGGTTTTGTCTCTCCTGTGCGGTGGCCAACCCCCCCACCATACAGCCACCGCTAAACCACTAGAGGTTAAAAGGAAGAGAAAGAAAGAAGGACAGAGAAACTGTAGACAACAAGCAGAGGATGGGACGCAAGGCGGAGAATAGATGCCCTAAAAAGAGAGAGTGTGGGAGAATGAGAGGGATAAAGAGAGAAAGGATGGACGGGCTGGAGAAGAGGCTCATGACGCTGGATTTGACTCTCTGGAGGCCCGCCATGCCTTGTTGTTCAGAAGAACTTTTCCCTTTTTCTCTCTGCCTTTCCCTTTCTTCCTCTCCCTCTCCTCGCGTCAGACTTTCCAAACACGCTCAGAGGCAGACGACCGGCAGAGCAGTCACAATCGCACCATTTAGATCTATCCAAACATTCTGGGGAAGGGGAGGGTGGAAAGCAGGAGGGAAGGAGAGGAAAAGGGAGGGAGATAAATGAGAGAGGGGACTAACAGCTTGCACGACACAGGGTGAGTCTTCGCCTGAATACGCTGTGTGTGCGCGTGAGCAGAGGCTGGGATGGGGGGGTGCTTTCAAGGGGCATGGAATCGGGAGAAGTAGAAAGCCGTGTGAAAAGGAAAGAGTAAAATCAGCGTATAAGCACATGTGAAAGGCAAAGCAGTGGAAAGAAAAGAGATGACTGGGAAAATGTGAGCTGCACTGAAGGTAATCCTGTTCCATAACACAGATGCAGAACGTGACATTCCACCGAATCCAAATGCTTTAAGCCAATCCCGAATTAAAAGGCGAGTGGTGTCCATTTGACGGTGCACAGATTCCCTGATCTCTAAAACCATTCTAAACAAAATCAGCTGCAGTTGTTTAACACTTGGGACCACTGGTCCGGTCTACTGTATGGTGCAAACTCCCACCTTCTGCTGGTGCGGTTTGCTTTAACACAGAGCCAAACAACATCAAGCAGTTGCAACAGTTTGTACAGAGAGCAGTATTACTTCAGTACTGCACTTTTTGAGAAAAAACATAAAGCAGAAAGAAGAAAGTCTATAAAGGTTTCTTTTGCTAATCAAATGCCTGCATTTCTTCAATACCTTTAGCCCCACCAGACACGTTCAAACTATTTTGTCCTTACGATAGAGCTCCAATTTTCTACTTCTACCCTAATGCTTTACTTTTATGTTATTATGTATTTCTGTTTTTGGTACTGTGGGATAGGAAAGCAATCCCCCTCCAGGGTTTCAACAGACCGTTCTAGGTATGGTTAAGGGTCCTGGAAGTTCACATCAGCGATTTCCGCTCCAGCAACAAACTCTGAAGTTTAAAATTCGGACAGTTCAACGACTCACATTTGTGGATCTAAATGAGTTTTATTCAGCCAGAATCGGACTAAATGGCTCTTTGGAAATGGCTGGTGTGTTGGAAAGCTTTGCTAAAACAAGAGATCGAAAAGGCTGTACCAGGGAATGTTGTTTATTTCTACAGAAAAAATAGCAATGCAAGGTAGACTGTGTAAAACATCCTCAGCTGAGGTCCCTCCATGTTGTATAAAGCATATTTACATGTCAAGTCAGTAGATGATGCTAAATTGTGCAGCCCAACTTAAGGGCTAAGTCAGTGCTGTACTCATTTATAGATCCATGGATCTTGTTTTCTTTATTTACTTAGTTTTGAGATATGAGTGACCTTTATTTCTAGTGATCCAACAGGAAATGGGTGGAGAGAGAAAGGGGGAAGACATGCTGTAAAGGTCTCTATGGGACTCTAACAAGGGACAACTGTGTAGAGAATGTAGACATCTGTACACTGCCGCGCCAAAACCTGCATGGCAAATGCAGCATTTTTAAATGCTCTTTTTTTGCACCTCAGTTAATTCTGAGAAGCGGAACTGTTAGTTTTCTCAAACTAAATGAGTATTTCTGTTTTATAAGAGCCTAAGGTTATTTAGATTACATCTGCAAAGGTAGCGTCTAGGCAGGGGCCACATTCATGCAAAAAAACCAAACCTGTGTGCGAGTCTTCATTATTGTTCCAACAGTTGTTTGTCGACTTCATATTTGCATGCACAGTTTTTTCTTAGTTTCAGAACATTTTGTGCTTTCTGTTTTCTCCTCTTTTAAGAACTTGTCTCCTTAATCTTATTTTTTTAATTTGTTAAATTTTGTTCTACGTGGCATGCTCCTTCAATGTTTATTATCTTTTTGCAATCACTCTGTGTTCTTTTGGTATTATGTTTGGAAATGTTGTCCTTGTTAATGTGCTGTGGAGAGGGCCAGGCCTTGGGGAGACATTTTCTGTTTTTATTTTCTTTCTGGGTTTTGCGATATGATGCTGTTGTGTACTTTGCTACTGGAGCTACAAAACTATGCTTTATATCTACAATCTGATTAAGCAGTAGGTTAGTAGTTCCAGCTCTAAGGAGTACAAAATACAGATTCCAAAAAGTAAAGATGGAGTTATTTTATGGTAAAGCCAAGTCGCACAATAGCTTCTCAATGCCCCAGTGAGAGAAATAAATAAATTCTCTTCCTCAGCCGGAGAGAACCCTGCTCCGTGTCATATCTAAAACAGAGTTTTGATACGTTTAATCTAACAACCAAACACTGCGGACTCAGAAACAAAGTGGCAATGATGCACTCTGGGCGTCCAAAGAGCGGTTTACTTTTACCTCCTTCACAGAGCGAGGAGTAAGACCAGAGTGACCGTAACCTCAGTGTGGAGAGCCCTTCAAACCCACAATCCCTGGAAGCTCTCCAGAATCAGCTGAAGTGGTTCAGTTCACTTCACAGCCTCCTCTATCCTCTGTACAATGAGCGAACTCGGCTGCAGATTATGTCTCACAACACTGTCCTATTGTCATTGTCCGATTCAGTGATAAGTTTGTACAGTGCCTTTGTGGATATGAGTTAAATTAATAAAAGTTACAATAAAATAATGAGGGACTTTCTGTGTCTGACAACAGTGGCACTCCTCCACTTCCTCTAAACACCCTGGGTTCCTCCAAATTGCCTTGGAACAATCCCTCCATATGCCACGAACACTGAGGACGCATTTATGCCTAAATGACAGGACATCCTTTCAGATGACCCAGGTTATCAATGGGCCATTTAGAGGCCTGTGATAACTTCATATCCCTGAGGGAATAACATTGGTGGAAAAAGGGAAGGAAAAGAGAAAATGCAGGGGAAAAAAACTACACCAAACAATGTATAGACGTCCAAAGCAACATCATTCCCTCCATATCAGATGGATGTTTTCAGTCCAATTCGGCAAATAAGCAATGACCTGATGCACCTCATTATATTCCAATGTCCGGAGAGGGGACCTGGTTTCCACATCATGCTGCTCCAATTAGAAAATCCTTTTCCGTTATTAGGGATTGGACCTTTACAACAGTTCTGTCAACGTAAATCCAAGCCGGCATAATATTCCTAGTATCTGAATGCCTGTCATATCGAACTTGGACTATCAGGGGAATGAAAAGAAAAAAACAGTGCAGAGTTAGGCTGATTAAACACCAGTGAAGGCAGTTTATATGATTATGAATCGTGTCTCTGATTCTCTATCCTTCATGTATGTTCATTCTGCTTTTGGGAGAATAGTTAGTACTCCAGTATATGATGGGGTTGATGAAGCAGCATGCTTGATGTTAAAAGTTCATAAGTTATTAAAACTGAAAGGGTGTATTGCAGTTCAAATGTCAAGATACATATGCCTTCCCCGTTCACCTTAGCAGAACTCAATATTTAACACAGCAGTCTCAAACAACTACAAAGAGAGAGAGAGAATGAAAGCAGATCAGAGCTGCCGCAACTTCAAGCCTGACTCACCGTCAGGTGCAAATCAGATCCACAACAATCAAAGATTAGCAGGCGGGGTCACGAGGAGATTTGAGCTGGATTTTGTGAGGCAACTTTTTTGACTAAATTCTAGATCTGAAAGTTTCACAAATCAAATCTGGATCTGAATAAATCAGTTCAGGTTTGAATCTTTTTGTCAAGCAAGAGCCCATTCAGCGCAGTCCCATTGCTGAAATACTGTCCTGAGATCTTAATGAATTATATGTATTTTTTATTTGACTTTTTACATCAGGAAACAAGTAAAAAGAGTACATATTGCAGCTTAGGTATAAAACAGGGAGCAATTGATAAAAAAAAGAGCTTTATTTTAGCAACTAATTAAAAACTAAATACTAGATGAAAATAAATTTGTTTTCTTTAGGTGTTTATGGTCTTAAATCAAGTTTTTATAATCCAATTGTGCCAACATCAACATAA